GATTGGCACTAAAGTATACCTATCTGGGTGCAGTGCTCTATGATTAGATGCGCAAACTATAGTTGAGCTCGTGCAAGCAACATCTTCACACTGACACGGAGACCTGCCTTGGTAGAAAGCCTCAGATACAAAAAGCACCGCCGCAAAGAGCCTTCAATGTTGTTGATATCGGGTGCTCTCTACTTCACCCAGTACATTTCCGATTCGACAATCAAGGCACCGATTGCTTGTTGGCCCAGCAGATGGCCAAGCAGATGATCAGATTTGCAAGACCTATTGTCGACAGCCTTACGGAGAGATAGATTGCAACCAAGGGATTGATGCAACTTCGGAGCTTCAGGCCCCCGGCATGTCATCATCAGTCAACAATGGTTGGCCAGAAGCTGGGTTGGTCCCTTGCCCAGACGCGAGGTAAAGGATTTGAATCCCCGCAATCTTCTAGGTACTGTCCTGCTCAATATAGAACTCACTGATTATGGAGAGCTCTTAGATTTGGGTTGGTGAGGCTGTGGGGCAGCTAGAACCTTTGCTTATACCTAAGGGCATCGGGATGATGACGCCCTTGGGGTTGGATCGGTGTTGATGACTCTTATCAGCACTAGTGTACTCGAATTCCCACTTCTTTGCAGTGCAGGCAGCAGGTAGTCTCTGACATGAGCCAAGTTGTATCTTGGAGTACTGGCAGTGTATACTTCTTCAATGCCACGGAGTTAGTGCGAATGCATGGTGCAATTGGAGCGCCGCCGCTACATTTCCAGTTAGACTTGACAGGTATTCCTGTAAAGAGCAACAGTCGAAGGAAATGAAGACACTGGGCGTGAGGGAGGGAAGATGAGAGTAGATCCAGAAGAGAAGAGAAGAGTGAAATGAGACGATGGCAGATCCGGGGATAATGACTAAGCGACCGAGCACAGGCACTCAGGCATCTAGGCACCATGGCACCAAGGCACCCAGGCATCGGTCTCGGTTATCCGCGGGATCGGCGCCCCCGCATGACGCCGGGGAAGCAAGTAGATAAATATCAAGGGGAGACATACCTCACGGTCCCCCTCTCTTTGTTACTTTACTACATTTCCTCAGTCCTATCTCGACTCCCCTTTTCACCATGCACATCCTTAGATCCCCGACGTTACGGCTAATACGTCCGCCGTGTCGGCGGTACTCCACCGCCGCACCATCAGCGGCCTCACGCCTCAACCTCCCCATCGACTATCGGTCCTCACCTCTCCTGCACCACAGCTCGGCCTCGCTCTCCAATAACCTGGACCTCCCGGAGTCCACCACCTCGAAGTCCCTCAACATGTATCAGGCGATCAATTCCGCCCTGCGGACGGCTCTGACGGCCTCAAACCAGGTCATGCTCTTCGGCGAGGACGTCGCTTTCGGAGGTGTCTTCCGGTGCTCGATGGACTTGCAATCTGAATTTGGCTCCGAGCGTGTCTTCAACACCCCGTTGACGGAGCAGGGGATCGTCGGGTTTGCCATTGGTGCCGCGGCGGAGGGCATGCGGCCTGTGGCGGAGATCCAGTTCGCAGATTATGTCTTCCCGGCCTTTGACCAGATCGTCAATGAGGCGGCGAAGTTCCGGTACCGGGAGGGAAGTACGGAGTCAAATGCGGGTGGGATGGTCGTGCGGATGCCTTGTGGTGCTGTTGGGCATGGCGCGTTGTAAGTTTTGTCCTCGTTCTCGTTGTTCTGTCAGTTCATGAGCTGCTTGCTTGTGTGGACGGACTGCGCTCCTGCACGGTTGACTAACTGTTGAATGTAGATATCATACACAATCACCCGAGGCGCTCTTCTCGCATGTCCCCGGCGTCCGTGTCGTGATGCCGCGGTCCCCCTCGCAAGCGAAGGGCCTTCTCCTAGCATCCATCTTCGAGCACAACGACCCCGTCATCTTCATGGAACCCAAGATCCTCTACCGCGCAGCGGTGGAGCACGTCCCAAGCGAATACTACACCATCCCGCTCAGCAAGGCCGAGATCGTGAAGCCCGGCAACGACCTAACGATCATCTCCTACGGCCAGCCCATGTATCTCTGTTCGGCGGCTATCGCCGCCGCCGAGAAGGCCATGGGCGCAAACATCGAACTGATCGATCTGCGCACCATCTACCCCTGGGACCGACAGACGGTGCTCGACAGTGTTACTAAGACGGGAAGAGCTATCGTCGTGCACGAGAGCATGATCAACTACGGGGTTGGCGCCGAGGTGGCCGCCACTATCCAGGATGGCGCTTTCTTGCGGTTAGAAGCGCCTGTCAAGCGCGTCGCCGGGTGGAGTACCCATACCGGGCTGGAGTTTGAGAAGTTCATCCTCCCGGACGTTGCTCGTAAGTCCCTTCTTGCTATGTGGTTGTTTTTGCCGAGTCCGCCTTGCTGATTGATCAAAACAGGGATATACGATGCGATTAAGCAGACGCTGGAATATTAGACCACGACCTTTCGTATTGTAGATCCAGTCGCGCGTGGGAACTTCGTGCGGGACATGAATTAGATGCCATAATTATGAATGAACCGTTCCATAGAGCCGTGGCTCGAGTCATATAGCCTTTTCACGAGGCCGTACGTCCGTCAAGATACCGCCTGCTCCCGCTTCCCGCTAGATATATACAACGAAACATGGCAACGCAACCAAAGCAGAAAATGGACCATATGACAAAAGAAGAAAACACGTATACTTGCATAAGAATCGTTATTACGTTAAATGCCCAGCGCCACGTCCCTGGACCGACCTCCCCACGTATAAAAACCGAGCCAAAGCTTTCACGGCGGAATACCATCCCCCACGACGTCGGTGTGCCGCATCGTCCTGACTCATTTAGTCAACTAGGGCGCTAGGTGACGTAGGGGACGGATATCAATTTACCTTTTCCCACGGCATCTCGAGCGAGGCTAAGATGTCCGGATGTTCTTTAAACTCGCTGCTTTCAACGGTTGCTAGGGCAAACGAGACGTCCCGTTCGACTAGGCCGCCCGGCTTGCCCGGTTGCGGTGTGGACCCGTCAAACACGTGCGCGAGGAAAGACATATAAGCCGCCAACACCTGGACGATGGCGTCCTCACTGTGCTTTGGGATTTTTTTAAGGATCTCTGACAAGAGCCCCGGCGCGTAGTAGGGCACGACCGCAACGCCGTCATCGATTCCGTCCACACTGAGCCCATCTACCAGAGCACGCCGGATGGGGTCTGCGAGGAGATTGAAAGCGCGCTGGAACCGCTCGGCTACGTCCTTGCTCTCCACCCGCCCCATAGATAGCAGCCGAAGCAGCGCGCGCTCGTCGCTGTTATCCGTCGACAGGAGGCCAAAGCCACACTCGTGCAGGATGTTCGCACGAAAGGACAGGACCTGATCGTAGCATGCTCGCGGAGTGTCGATCAAGTGCTTGCGGAATTCGTCGAGTCGCTGGATTGTGGCCATGTATGACCGGAACACCGATTCCGTCATCACCACGCAGCCGTGCGGGTTCCTGTGTGCGGCAGCCCCCGCTACATCCAAGAAGGTGACCGTCGCTCGGATATGGAACCCTTGGTCAGCATCCGGAATCTGCTGCAGCACTGCTAAGCTAGCTGGCGCGGTCTCCCCCTGTAATACCTGAGCAATATTGACTCGAGAGCCGAGTACCAGATTCTGGAGGACCGCCATCCGAGTCTCGCGAGGCATATCTCTTAAACTAGACACTAGACCCGCCTGCGCGGCCTGTAAGACCGTACCGGAGTGGTCACTAGAGGCGGGAGATGCGGGGGACGCGGGGGACACCGGGGATATCGGGGACGCCGCGGACGCCGTTTCCTCGACCTCTTGGGCCAAGGCAGGATCCTTGCCGATATCATCGATCGCTAGGGCGACCAGCAGGGCGTAGATATCTTGGGAAGACGGATTTTCCTGCAAAGAGAATTCCCGCAGGGACTGGAAGGAGGCCCTGGATAGTCGCACCGCCTCGGGCTGACCGCCAGTAAAGGCCTCGTAGTCGTCCGCTAGAAGCCATTTCACGGCCAGCATACTGACCAGGGTCCGATTCACCTCTGTGAAGTCCTCTCCAAAGATCTCTCTGGAGGGAGTCCAGGATTTGGAGCCTGTACTCGAGCTAGACTCCACGGTAGGGTCTGCATTTTTCAGGTGAGAGAGGTCTGGGAAACAGTCGGCGAAGAGACGGAGAGCATCAGAGTCCGAGATGCGAGGTAGTTCGCCCTTCGCGATGCTGGTATACAAGGAAGACATATAATAGATAGAAGGGTTTCGCAATAAATCGAGAAGAGGGGGAAGAGGGGGGATATGAGGGATTAGAGAGATTAAATGATTCCAGGCTAGAAGGCCCGAAGTAGGCGCCGGGACAGCACTATTTCTCCGAGTCAGGCCCGTCAATCTACCCCGTACCCAAAAAAGTCAAATCCAGTCAGCCCGTGGATCAATAGGTGACACGAGGGATTCTCAGATGTGTGGCCGAGCATGTATGGTTGGTTGGTGGCTGTGGCGGGGGGGAATGAGCGTTTCGTCTTGGCTGTGACGGTCTACCGCTGAGCACCACCAGTGAGGTACAGATATCGGAAGAGAGACTGTCAGATCCGTCAGCCTCGGACTCCATCAGCGGCTGGTCAGCGTGGCGATTGAAGAGATGACGAGATGACGAGCTGACGTTGAAGTTGAAGTTGAAGTTGATCACGAATTCGATGGAAGGCAAGAAGGACAAACCGGTGCAAACGAGTCAATCCGCACAAATCCACCAAACAATACCATTAGTCATCACTTTCTAAGAACTCGAGTCGTCGGAATAACTTCACTTTCCACTGTGTCTTGATCGCTAAGAATTAGATGATCGCAAATGTGTGGTCATGTCCCCTGTTCCCAGCCACAGTTCGGTTACTAACCGGTCAAACCAGGCACCATGAGATATCAATAGAACACCTCAGCCCCGTTCCTTGGGATCACGCAGCCTCCTAAGTGGAGATTCCCCACTTTGCCTTAGCTTCCAGCCTCCCGATAGATAGCTGTACCTCGGATGCATGACGCGCCTTTCTCTTTCCAATGGCCGGTTCTTGTAGTTCGTCTCTCGCCTTCACTTCACCACCATGAGGAGTATCCGCTTTCTTGTTTTTGTCCTCTCATTTGTCTCTCAATATGTCTCCGCGGCGCGTCATGACGACGACCTCAGGTCCTTCGTTACGGTAAGCAGTCCACGGATGATGGCGGGACATTGCTCACTGCCGCTAGTTGCCTGAAGTTCGGGCTTTGAAGTACGACGTCACATATCATGGTGATCGCAGTCGGGTCAGTCCCGGCTACTGGTTTGTCGCCCCGTACGGCAATATCAACCCCGAGCCGCCGACACACCGATACCAGCAATACCAAATCGGTCCTTACATCTACGATGCCGACGGAGTATGTCCTCTGTCTACGCTTTGGCTGTCTTAATTTAATATAACACAGAATTGACATGCGTACAGGTTCTAATCTGGGCGGGTTCGTCCATGTTCGACAATCACAATGTCTTTGACTTTCGAGCGGTCCACAACATGGGAAAGGAGCCGCACCTATCGCTGATCGCGCAACGTTCCCATCGCGACGAAAAGAGCGATGTCAAAGTCAAAGGAAGTGGTGTAGTCTTAGACCAGCACTATCAACCCAAAGAGAAGGTCGTTGCTCTGGACGAGCTGCACGAGTTTAACGTCCACGAGTTCAATGTCGTCGACGGCGGAGAGAAGGCGCTGGCCTGCGCCTATCGCACGCAGAAACTCAACCTAGCGGACCTAGGGCGCCCCAAAGATGAGTCTTTCTTCCTCACGGGCGGCTTCATCGAGTTCGACTTGACATCAGGAAAGCCCAAAATGCAATGGGACTCGAGTGACCACCTGGCACTACACGAATCGGTCAAATACCTCGCAACAAACGACGTGGTCGATCAACCGCCAGGCTTCGATTACGTGCACATAGACTCGGTGGACAAAAACGCCGCCGGTGACTATCTACTATCAATGCGCTTCACCGACGCCATCTACCTCGTCTCAGGTGAAGACGGGCAAATCCTCTGGCGCCTAGGCGGCGTCGAGAACGATTTCAAAGACATGGACTTCTCCTTCTCCAGACAGCACCACGCGCGATTCGTCGAATCAAACGGCTCTCACCACGTCATCTCCCTTCTCAACAACGCTGCCGACGAACTAGGCGAGCAAGAGCATGTCTCGTCGGCAATGATCGTAGAGGTAGACGGCGACGCCAAGGTCGCCAAACTGCTAAGGCGCTACACCCGGCCAGACGGCCATCTGTCCAAGCTCCGCGGCAGCGTTCAAGTCCTCAACAACAGCAACGTCTTCGTCGGCTGGAGCGACCAGGGCTACCACACGGAGTTCTCGACAGAGGGCACGCTCCTCATGGAAGCCCGCTTCGCGTCTGACCGCTTCGTGACCTACCGCGCTTACAAGTACGAGTTCACTGGCCGGCCCAGTGCACCGCCTGATGTTGTCGCCCAGGTCCACGGCGCGAGCAGCTTAGATCTCACGACCACGTTTTACGTCAGCTGGAACGGCGCCACGGATGTGTCAACATGGAACTTCTACGCGCGCGCCTCCGAGAGCGGAACCCCCGTGTTGGTCGGGAGCACCAACAAGACCGACTTCGAGACTATGTACACCGCCCATGGCTTCCTAGACTGGGTGTCCGTCGAGGCCGTCGACAGCCAGGATAAAGTCCTGAGCACATCCAAGACCCATCGCAGCACGACGCCGGACTGGGGAGCTACTGGATTCAAGGGCTCCGCTCCGCTCCCGAACGACCCTTCGACCATCGACTTTCCACCCAAGCAGCCCGATACTGACGACGACGACGACGACGATGATGATGATGACGATGATGACGACGATGACGACGACAACGACGACCACAAAAAGAAACCCACCACCCCCTCCAACCCCCACACCGACAACGACATCAACTACGCCAACGCCAAAGAGGTCGCCCAAGCCGTGTACAAAGCCTACAGCGTGATCCGATTCATCAGCGGCGCGATGATCTTCGCGGTGGTAGTCGCGTGTCTCTGGGGTGCGTATCGGTTCTACGTCAGTCGTCGTAGGGTGCAGCTTTATCGGCATATTCCGACGGATGAGAGCCATGCTATGCATGATTTTGAGTTGGGGGATAGTGGGTCTGAGTAGGTTAGGTTTTGTTTTACTGTTGTGTTGCGTTATTATGTTACGGGGATGGTTGGATGTTGTTTATCTCGATGTATTAGGTGGGTTATTTGGTGATGGGTGTTAATATTGCGCATGTAGATGGCTCTTGATTTGGGGTTCATGTTGGATATATGCGTTGTGTATAGTTTCAGTTTGTCATCCCATCTCCTACTATTATTTTCAATCAAACCCGTGTAACTAGTTGTTTACTAGAATCTTACAATAGTTTACTCAAGATAGAGATAAATAGCATCTAATGAATTGATTGACCTGACCATTCCTGTAATACGCCGTACAAAGACACCTGTAAAGATAGGTATAACCAAAGCCAGAGACTCCCCTTCTGCTCCCTTCTCCCACTGACTGGACCCTTACACAATGGCAGGTTGTCGATAGACCTGTGAAGAGCGCATGGACCGGACGAATGTAGGAAAACAGACAAGATAAAGAAGAATACCACTGACATCGCTAATAAGAGACTGGTGAACCTACCCAGCATCTATAAAATCAAAGAAAAAAGAGATATGAAACCTTGTAATAAGAAACACTGCAATCTATAGATGGGACATCAAGCAATGGATGGTCGTGACAAAAGGATTCCCGCGATCCGGCTGGAATCACGGGATGGCCTGGACGCCAAATTCGGCGTCGAACCGGTATTCCGTAACGACGGCTTCGGGTACGGCGTCTTTCACTGGGTGGAAGAGGATGGGCGGAAGGCACACACGACCGTGCTGCTTTTCGTACTAAATTAAACTCTATCAGAGGGGTTCTCTCCTTGTAAGGGATAGTTCGGAAAAGGGAAGAAAACTCACCGATTCACCACCCTTGCCGGCCTTCTCCCAGCCTAAGAAGGGCCAGTAGAGACGCCCAGCCAGATTGGCCCGGTAGTACCACGACACCTCGCGGAAGCGGGTCTCTCGACCCCATCCAAAGGGACTGTTCTCCGTGCTGCCCGCCCGGCCGTTGACGCCCGCGTTGAACCACTTGTCGAGGCTGGTGACGGGAAGGTCTTTGTTGTTGTAGACCGGGTGCGGCGCGCTGACGGCCTTGAGCCCGTGTAACAAGGCCACCGAGGACGGAAAGAGTTCGGAGCCCATGGTCCGTCCGGCCATATTCTCGCCGTCCATCGTGAGGAGCATGCGCCTCGAAAGCCGCGAGTGCGTGATGAGACATGCGCGGCGGGGCGTGTCGGCGCCGAGATACCCGTAAACTTCGTTCCGGATGACCCATTCGGTGCCAATGGGGTGGAAGATGGGGAGGAACGTGATGAAGTCGGCGTCTTCGCCGACGCCCCACTCGTAGTTGTCCTGCTCCGGCGCGTGGTGTGGCGGCGCAGGCCCGCTTGGTTCGACCCGGGGCGGATTCCGATCATCCAGGGGGAGAGCGCCCCAGACAGCTTCCTGTTCGTGGTGTTGCACGTAATCTCGGAAGGAGGTGTCATAGTCGCCGTGTAGTGCGGGGATATAGAACCGGGCGTTGCGCTCCCAGACGCCGCGGCGGGGCTGTTTACGGCCGAACTGGGCGATTCTCTCGGCCAATTCGTAGTGGTGGCCGGTGAACCGGGCGTCAATCTCCCAATTCCACACATACTCATACTCCGGGTGCTGCAGTGTGAAGTGTTGGACCGACAACCACTGGGCATGATGGACACTGGTCGTAATTAGCCCTGCGGTTTCGAGGAAGATGGGGTTTGGGGGAAATCCGGTCACATACTCGACAACGCTGGGGTCCAGCGGATAGCGCGACGCCACCATGGGAACATTCCACAGGACCGTGATATCCCAGAACTCCCGGGGAACATTCTCTTTGATGATCTGTCGGGCGACGTCCTCCACCTCGATGGGGATCTGGTCATCCTTAACATGGAGAAAGAGGAGGACCGAGTACTCGCCACCGGATTGGAGGGAGAGCTCCGTGACGAGCGAGCGGAGGACGTAGATGTCGTTCTCGGTGTATTCTTTCCCGATGTAGGTGCGAACCAAGACGGCGGTGCGCGGCTCCGGGGCGATCCGCTTGTCGGGGGTTTTGATGGGGGTTTTGGGAGCGTATCGGTCGGCGTTGCGCTTGTAGCATTTGTCCTGCAGCTGTCCCCAGTTGACACGATTCCAGTCCACCTTCTTCGGCTTGATCCAGTTTTCGACACCGGTTTCGTCCTGGCCGAAGCCGTAGGCGCCGTATCTCGTGTAGCGATCGAAGGAGACGTCTCCGTCGAGACCGAGGGCGTCGTAGGAACCGAAGGCGGGCTTGGGGAAGCCTAGACTGACGTTAGCTCCCAACCATGTCTCCTGCGCAGTTGCGGAGGTGTTCTCGTACCCTCGGGGACACCAAGGTAGACGCCGACTTGGTCATCAAGACTGTCGGTCAAGAGCTTCCCGCGTGGCCCCTCGCAGGGGTGGAAGGCACCCCGGTGCGTCTCCTTCCACTCGGGGCTGTCATAGTTGGGATACGGGCGGTAGATGCGGGGGATTTGGACGCCGGTCTTGCTGCCGAAGCGCGGATCGTGGGTGACATTGGGATTCTCATAGTCTGATGGCATGCGGATCTGGTTCAACGTGGGGATGACATTGTCGAAGACTCTGCAGGAGGTCAGCTACCCAGTCACGACCTGGCAGTTCAGAAAGGTACCGACAGTGGATACTGCTGTTGTTCCTCTTCGTATCGTTCCTGGGGGGATTTCCACTGTTTCCGGGTCAGTTCCTTTCTTTCTCGATGGGCGCAATCCGTCGAGATCTCACGTGAAGTAGCGCTTCGTGTCTCCAAGCAAAGGCGGAGATGATCAACATATACAAGACGGCGATCAAGAAGGCCCGACGAGTGAACCGTTGCGACATTTTGTTGAAGATGTTCATGGACGGCGGCACGGGGCCAGATGCATTCAAAAGCACCTGGCAGTAGGAGGAAGGGTCCAAGTCGGACAGAAAAGGTTATCCGCGCTCCAGGCACACCGGGGCGACGATTGGCAGGATGATCAGTCAAACGGACTTTCTGACGCAAGTGGCGGCGATCCCGGAGGGGCGAATTGGGGCTTAATTATGATAGCGCGATAGTGAGATAGTGAGATGAACAATCGGCCACGATCCGAGCAACACACACAAATTTTGGAGTCGGGATTAAAACGATGAAGAGATCTGATCGACCGGAGACCCCAACCAGTGGTGAATAGCAAGAAAAGAAAGTCGGAAGGCAGTTTGTCCAAGTCATTGAACTCTCTGGACAGCCAGAGAAATGGACCATGAGCTAAGGGCCGGTGGGGAACGGTTCAGAGAGTGCTCCATCAAGCATCCAGAGTCGTAGTATCCTTGTGGGTCCGACTCGCCACGTAATCGCCGGAAATGACGAGGGTTCAAAGCATACAGAAAAATAAAAAATAAAAAATTCAAACCAGAAAAGGGAAAGAAAAAGGAAATGAAGGCATGACGATGGGTTGCCATGTTTCGGCGAGCCGCCCAAGGTACGACATCAGTCGTACCTCAGGATCGATGGAGCCATTCATCTGGGGCGTTATTTGCTTTGCTGGTGGAACCTCAAAAGCAGGAAGAATGAGGGTTCCAACAGGAATGACAAGCTTGAAGGGGGAAGTAACCTTGCTGATCCTGTTGGGATGAAAAGGGAAAGTTGGGAAGGAGAAACAAGACGGGAAGATCGAATGGGCAGAAGTGGTGGTGGACTCAGGCAGTAACCGCATGGGGTAAGGGCCTGAGGCTGATGCTGCTTGGATCCTGATTTCTCAGGCGATCGGGCACGGGTGTCGGATTGAGCTTTGATTGGCCGGGGAAGTATCCGTATATGCTGAGTAATTACATGTATAAGTCTGTGCTTGTGCAGGAGGATTATGTGAGATTATGCATGATCATCATATGACCCTCCCTATTCCTCAGGTGTCACTCGACTCTATTCGACTCGACGCGACTCTACCTACACTCTACTATACCTAAATTGATATATGAGATGATATCTTCGGTTCCAGGGAATTGAATGGATCAGGTACCGATGAGGTCCTCTTCCTACTATCCTATCCCACTAGTCCCTGGTCTAACCACTAACCGAGCTGGCCGGATTCCGGCATGTTGACATTCCATCCCCGGGTCATGACAGTATGACACGAGTATCCCCAGGTGGGACAATGATATCAAATTACTCCGGAGTATGGAGAAGTACGGAGATAATAAAGAATGAACGCAATATCAGACATTCCTCCGTTGAGCCTCAAATCCTTCCATCTGTCTACATCCCTCCACTCCGCCATTCCCCCCCATACCTCCTCCTACTAATCCCATATCGTCTTAGTTCGAGGCCAAGTCTAAGCCACCTGCAAGGGAAACTGAACTATTAACCAAATGTAATCAAAGTGAAGGGGAAAAACCGACAGTTATCCCTCATCCGGTTTGGCCTCCCGCAGCCTCGTGGACGACTATCCATCATCCACTACTCCGTCCTGAATCATGTTTGGTCCATCGCGATAGAACCGAGAGAGACCGGGTGGGGGCCAGAGCTTATGATTAGCTGCTGCTGCCCCTAAACTTTTCACTATGCAAGGATGAGCACTGGCCCGGGTCGCTTTTCTCGTGCTCGGACTTTATAATATTCGTCAGGCTGCCATGGAAATCTCTCACCTTCAATATCTTTTCTTCCTCCTTGCCTCATACCCGTCTGAATCGGGCTTGAACCTTCTCCACGGTCTGTCACTACTCAAAGGTACTATATCGAGATAACGGTCGTGTCCACTGTCTAGTCGAATCCTGTGATTATTGATCCACTGTCGCTATGTTCAAGACCACTAATCAGACTGTAGTTCACGGAGAGGCGATCGGTGGATATCTTTGGTTCTCCCTCAATCTCTCTACTCGGATCATATCATTCTGATCCCCGCCACCATGTTATCTCGCTATCTGCTCGGGCTCGCCCTGTCGGCCGCCGTCTGCGCCCAGACATGCTACTACCCCGACAAGAAAACCGTCGCCAAAGGCTACTCCCCCTGCTTCTCGGGCGATCAACCCTCCCACTGCTGCTCCGAACGCTCCGTCTGCTTGACAAATGGATTCTGCATGGATATGTCCCCGCCCTACACCCTGGCCCGCGGCGCCTGCACCGATCAAAACTGGGACGGCGGTTCGTGTGAAGATCCCTGCTGGCCCGGTAAGTATCCGATCTCAATCCGCCTCTATACCGGGCGTCGTCCTAACAGAACTGTAGTGGTCGGTTCGCGAACCGGTGGCTGTTCCATCGTCCTCTACAACAACCGCGATGGCGTCTCCACCTACTGTCCCAACTCCATCGTCGCCAATTCCAGCCACAGCATCGGCTGCGCCGGCGAGGCCGAGCCCATCACCATCAAACCGGGCGATATCATCACCGACCGCGGCGTTCTGGCCAAAGCCTCTTGCGCCAAAGACACCATTGACCCGACTGCCGTCGCCACTCCGCTGCCCTCTCCCACGCCGACGGGCGCGGGCCAATGCAAGGAGAGCAGCTCCACGCGCGCCGCCATCGGCGCAGGTGTGGGCGTCCCGCTGGGGGTGATCGCCATCTTGGGCCTGTGTTGGGGCCTCTACGAGCGACGAAAGCGATACCAACTGTTGGGCTCGGCTCAGGGCGTCATGATGCAGGAGCAGCATTATAACACGGTTCCGGCTAGCACGTCCTCCACCGCCATGGGAGGGGTCACGCCCATCTCGAGCCCTGGCTATAATCGAAGCGTCAACGTCGCACCTCAAGAGCTGGGAAACGATGGGTATAATAAATAGGCAGACTCCATGCTTTGCTTGGTTTTTTCTCTTCTCCTGTAGTGACTGACTGATGTGAACAAATCAGCGGGTTTAATACATGTATATATATAATATAGTGACGTTTATCCTCCATAACTTCCATCTAGACAACCACTTGGACAATGGCCAATCACGGGACTGATCACATGACCGGACATCTAGTATCGAGTACCTGTAGGTCCTCAATCTCCTGAGTACCTTACTACGTAGATCGCAGGTAAATGTAACTTCTACAATATTATTACTCCTGTTAAAACATCAACATAAGTATAAACTCTCAAATCTATACATGACCACAGACGTGGTATCCACATCCTAGATCTCCGCATCTCCAATCACATCCCCTCATCAAAATTTCTCCCCCCTAACAACGCCATCCCCACAGCCCACGGTTCCCTCCCCCCTTCTCTCCCTCTCCCTCCTTTTCTCCAGTAATATCCACACGGGATGAATCCCAAATGGTCCCCCGGACCCGAACATGAACAGTTCACAGAATGGGCCCAATCCCAAGGCATCATCGCCAAGGGCGTAGGGCCCGCACGCTTCCCGGGCCGCGGTCTGGGCATGGTCGCCAAGCGTGATATTGAAGTATACCTTCTTTTCCCTTCCTCCAAAACCACCTTTCCTGTTTGGAAATAAATCGATACTAAAGATTAGTACAGAAAGGCGAAGCGATTGTCACTGTTCCGCGCACAGCAATGGTCACTATCGACGGACTTCCCGAGTCATTTACGGGTCTCTTCCCAGAGGGGACACCCGTGCATGCTGTCCTCGCTGCGTTCTTCACTAACGGTGACCCGGAGGACCTGCGGCATTATGATCTCTGGCGCAAGACGTGGCCTTCACGTCGTGACTTTGAGTCTTGCATGCCTCTCCTCTGGCCGGCTTGTCTCCGCGGGGACAGCGACGGCCCCTCCTCATCGGGTCTTCTCCCCCCATCCATCTCAAGCTCATGGCGATCCTTCCAGAAAAATGAACGAGGACCCAAATCATCTGCATCCGACTACTCCCCCCATCAGGACCTCCTCCCTGCGCAGGAGACACGTCTGCGCACGGCGTGGACTGCCGTCCTGGAGGTATTCCCCGAGACAGACTGGGACGAGTTCTCGTATCATTGGCTTGTGGTCAATACGAGGAGCTTTTTCTATCTGATGCCTGGGCGGGATATGCCGGAGGATCATAATGATGCGATGGCGTTGTTGCCGTTTGCGGATTATTTTAATCATTCGGATGTTGCTGTTGGTTTCCTCCCCCCTCTCCCCGCCTTTTCGCTGTGTTGTTTTTTGGGAGATTGGGTGTCTGGGTTGTGTTAATGACTGTTGCAGTGTAATGTTAAGTTTGACGGGGAGAAGTACGTCTTTTGGGCGACGAAACCATACAGTAAGGCCTTCTGATCTTCTCCTGCCAGTGCGATGTGTATAGCTGGCATATTAACACGACATGTGCACCAGACGCAGGCGAAGAGATCTACATGAGCTACGGAAACCATCCAAACGATTTTCTTTTCGCCGAATGTAGGACCACATATATGCCCCAAACTGAGCAGCATCAACCCTGACACTGATCCTAACAGACGGGTTCTACCTCGACGAAAACGCCTCCGAGGCCCTTTACCTCGACGACATCATCTTCAAAGACCTGGACCCCTCTCAACGGGAGGAACTCGAGTTCCAGCAGTATTACGGGTATTCCCCGATTTATAAAACCTTGATTGTGCGAATAAGCAAGCTAACAAATCTAGCAACTACCAACTAACAGCGAGCGGCGTATGCTTCCGCACCGAGATCGCAGCGTGCATAAAATACATGGCGCCGGAGGACTGGCGGAACTATGTGCTCGGGTACTCGACCCAGGGCATGAGCGAGGCGAAATCCGAAGCTATTATCAGGAAATGGGTTCGTACGTATGTCCACGAGGCGGAGGTGACGATCGCCGCGTTGCAAAATGTGGGTGGCGCGGGAGCGGAAACTGACACAGAACGCGCGGGGAGAGAAGAGAAGGTTGAGATGTTGCGTAGGCGGTGGGTGCAGATTGGGGAGCTTTGTAGGAGGGGGCTGGATGCTGTATCTTGCTAGACACGAGGCGCGAGAAGTAAAGAAGTGGGAAAGGGAAAGAAAGAAAAAGGAGAAGAAGAACAAGATAGAGACGCCAGGGACGCCTGGCACACCCAGACTAGATACCCAATGAAGAAAGGAACATAAAATAAAAGAAAAAGAAAAGAAAAGAAACCAAGCCAACACTAAAGAAGATCCACCGGGATGGCAGCCGACTCTCGCTGCTTGCCCTTCTGCTGCTTAGCGAGCACCAGATGCTTGATCATGTAGTTCACCACGCATTTCATGCCGAGCTCCTCGCCGCGGCGCACGATGTACCCATTCATGTACTCGATCTCGGTGGTCTTCCCGGCGCGCACGTCCTGCAGCATCGAACTCTGATTCTTGGAGGTCTTGTTCGCCAGCCGCGTGACCATGGAGCGCAGCCGCTCGGGCGAAAACCGGCTCTCGATGCCCGGGACGCCCTGCAGCTCGGGCAGGGCGCAGATGACGCTCGAGATCTCCATGAGGAGGAGCCGCATGATGCGCGTGAAACTGTAGTTGTAGAGGAGCTCGCCGTTCTCGCAGTCCATGATGGCTGTTAGCGGGTTGATCACTGCGTTCATGGCCAGTTTCTCGAGTTGGTACAGCATGAGAGCGGAGGGTGTCTCCGCTACGGCGACGAGCTGCGGGCTGAGGGTCAGCGTGCGGAGGAGGTACTTCGTGCTGGCGGGCCATCCGTCCTGCTCCCCCTCCTTCCCGGTTGCTGGGACGAGACTCTCGGACAGGGCCGGTCCCAGGATGGTTGTTCCCACCCCGATGTGCGCGACCTGGAAGGCCTCTTTCTTCCGTGTTAGACCGTGTGAAATGATGCCGTACATGTAGTGTGGGCGGCGCCGGGGGTCCGGGAAGACCCGCTTGTTAACCTCGTCGATGACCCCCAAACCGTTCTGGAGGAAGAGAACAGTCGAATCAGGCGTCAACCGGTGGCTGACCGACTCCAACGCCAGCGCCGTGACGGGCGCCTTGACGGTAACCACTAAGCACTCGATGCGCTCGTCGTCCTCCACAGTCTCCTCCTCCATGTCCGGTTCAATCTCCCTGTCGCTGCGCTCCCCGCCAGCTTCCTTATCCCAGTAGGGAAACGCATGCCACGTCTTGCCGCTGAGGACATTCACATCGAACCCGGTCTTGATGTCGTCCAGCCCGTTGTTGTTGACCGACAGGCACTTTTTCCGGTCCAGCCACGAATCGTACAGCTTGGGATTATGCAGTAAAAGCGTCACCGGCGGCGGCGACGGCCGGCTCATCAGCGAGTGCGCGACAAAGGTGCCGACGTTTCCGAGGCCCAGGATGTGGATGCGCCCTGATAAGCGCGGCTTTCCGTCTTCTCTAAACTCGTCCGCATCTTGCATCCACGTTGACATGAGGCGGTTCGGTGCGCCTCGCTGACAATTCCCCGCGGTAAAGCGACATATGTCGGATATGCCGATCCGCATCAGCGGACGGCGTCCTAGGATTTGCAACACTTTGGCGGATGGGAGAAAAGATGGGGAATTTGAGAGTTGGTTGGGATTGCGCCGGTCGTGGGAATATCGGACACTTAAGCTTCCATTCCTTGAAATTCGCTGTTCAATAATATCACCAGAATTCAATCTCGCAGTCACTGGGTGAGCTAGACAATCAGACGACAGATGATCGACGCGAAGAGCTTCACGATCTCGACAAGATCAGACCATGACATGATGGCGGAGAGAGCGCCAATACCGCCGGCAGTTTGGCTCACCGCCCGAGCGTATCGTCCGCGGTAATCGCAATACGCTTTTCTCTTCTTATCTTACTATTCCCGACGACATCTAAAAAATACATGGGATAAACCATCAATTCGGATCGATGGAAGATTGAGAGTCCTGAATATCCTCTATATCCTGCCGAACAATGCCACGGCATTTCCCCGAGCCTCACCGGACTCGCAGTTCGTGACGTAAAACCGGAGTCTGGCCGAGTGAAACTCCTTCCGAGACCCCTCTCAGCTCCAACCCTCCACCTTACTGCGAACCATGCGAAAGGCTTGAGCCCCTGTGCTCTTCGCAGACCTTCATGAGGATGGAGGCCTGTACTTGCTCCTAGAGAGTGACCACTTCATACCGGTTCTTGACCCAACATCTCAGAGAGAAGTAACAGCGAACACCAGCTCGTCGCCGTGATTACGCTCGTTCCCCACTATACTAGCGACTGATCAATGACATGCATGAGATGACCCCAACGACGACTTCGCCGTCAACGATGGTCTTCACCTCGCCCAGGCGCAAACGAGCATCATCGGAGCAATCAGACTGCCCCAGTCCGGCGGTATCTTCACCATCCACTCCTCTCTCCGCCACCGACAGTCTCCCCGAAACGGAGCGGCTGCGAGAGGAGGGAGGAGACCTAAGCAATCATAGTCCGCGGGCCGCCGTCGCTAGTCGCCTGGGGGACCTGGCCATCCGCGGGGATCGTCTGTTTTCGACAACACCGCACATCCCTGATATTTCTCTCGCCCAGGAACACCTCGCGGCTGCGGTACGGTCGGCGCATACAGGCATATTCTGGCCTGGCTCCCGTGATATGCCCGAACCGGGTGTTCCCATCGACAATGGCACCAATCCCGGTGGGCCGACGACTGACGATCAGCCACAGTCGCAAGCGCAGCCACAAATACAGGAATCGCTGCTGTTGCCACCACCACCACCACCACCACCTCCTCCTTCTTCACCTCCGCGACAGAGCAACCCCTCAGTAACATCATCCCCGAAGAAAAAGCCTACCTCCAGTCCTCGCAAGAAACGCACCCCTCCGAGCACCTCACACCAGCGCAATCGGAGATCGCCCCCACCGCCCGCCAGCAGCGCAGCGGAAGATCCCCTGACATGGCACGACTCGGAAATCACAGGCCATGACCCGACGGACCCCGCCGACGACGGGTACGGGATCAACGGGATCGGATTCAAGCCCACGGCAGCGACAGCATGGATGCGGTCGCAGAAACGACAGAAGCAGATGGCGGAGTGGAAGAA